GCTCTAGCAAATATCCTACTCACTTGCAGGAGTGAGGTGAGGAGTTTGGTTTTCAACCATTTTTTACAGGCCCGTTTTTCTTACAGTTTCTTTTTTTTTTTGGTATTTATCTGCGTCTTCCATAATTTAAGCAATTACGAAAATATGTTGATTAATCGTCTTGTCTGTTTCGCATTTCTAACCACACGACCCGATCAGCTAAAGTGCCAAGGGTTTGAGAACACAGACTTTGGCGTGAAATGCCCATAGCCCTAACACCACTGAATCTCAGGCTGTGACTTCAGGTGAACCGTCAGGATTTCAGCGAAATTTTTAAAACTATTTCCTAAAAAAATATGAATAATGAAAGTTTTGTGGAACCTAAGCAGATACGTGTATCTTCTCCATCCAGAACTGTTGTCCAGCTCTGCAACTTCCTGCTCAGTTCTTCACGAAATTTCTCATAAGTTTTGCCGTTCACTTCCAGGGTATACTCGTATGCAAACGTTCCTAAAGCTTCCACGCTTATGGCACATTTGAATTTGCCAATCGTAAACAGAACTTTTCCAACGAGCTTAAACATCCAGTCTTTCCTCAAGATTTCCTGTAATTGAACCAAAAAAAAAAATGGATTTTGCACATCGTACAACAGAATCGGCAAAAAGCAGCTCCGACACTCTCCGATCTTAGAGTCCGATATAATGAGGAAGAAACTGAAGCCATCTCAGGTTTTCTTGCGGCCACCGCTCAAAATTAATCTTTTGTCACTCCCAGCAAAACTTGCTTGTCTTCAGCAAATTTACTACTTATTATCTAATTTTGGCGCAGCTATGCTATTGCGTCCTACGTAATTCACCACATTTTCTGCTGAGAACTCTGTTTTTTCCCGGATTAGCTTCTTTTCTGCTCAGCGTTCATGTCCTATACAGCCCATTCACTGAATAAATAAAAACAAGCTCCTGTGTTTCTGCAGTACGTAACAGTACATGCAGGAACTTTAGAAAAATTTCTCCTGCGTTTGGTTTGTGTCAAAAAGTCAATTGATGAAAAAATTGGTCGCTCTGTCCTAATAATTTTTCGGCTATCGAATGCCTTCAAGTTCTGTGTCCTTATTTGCTTTGCTCAAGAGTTTATACTATTTAAGTCCATTCTGAAATGAGCTTACAGTTAAGGTTGTGATCGAATTACAGTTGTTTGTCTCAAGATACTGATTTCCATGAGTGAGGTAGTTCAAATCTGCACTTCTTTCTGTTGATAATACTTTGAATTTTGACCTGATATGATGATTTAGCTCCGAGCAGAATTTTTAATCTGACTTTAAAAACCTGAACCCAAAAGCAGAATGGTGTCGATAGAATACAAAAGACACAACGTTGACTCACCTCGAATTTAAGTTTCATTTTATTTTTCCCAGTGCTTTTTTTTCTAGAAAATTAGCACTGAAGTTTCGAGCTTTTGTGCTTAAATATTTGCTTTGCAGCATACATTTTGAAACACTGCGCAATTCATCTATTTTTACCAAAAAAAAAAAAATCATTGGTGGCGTGCACCGGACGGGCCCGTGCGACCATGCGTTTTTGCTGTGTTTCGTGCTGTAATGAGATTTCTCGGAAACCCAGTAGCTAGAAATGTGTGACATACTGATCCTCGAATTTCAGGAAGTTAGTTGTCTATGCTTTACTTGAACAGGGAACATTCTCTGAAAATTTTAGCCTCCCAGCTTTCCCGGTTCCCAAATTAGTCATTTTCCCGCCAAAAATTTTCATGGGGTCTTACATGAGAACACCCACACCGAAGGGCTGAATTCGATAACTTTAAGCTGCACATGTGCTGGGAAAATTCCTTGGAAATTTCAGCCTCCTACTTTCCAGGTTCCCGAGCTACCCATTTTTCTGCCAAAAAATTTCACGGGGCAGTACATGAGAACCACGTTTACCTTGAGGCTGAATCTGATAAATTTTTGTTGTGTACGTGCTGGGTTCCCGGCCTAAATTAAATTTCAGCCTCCCAGCTTTTCTTGTTCCCGAGTTAGCCGCTTTTCCGTGAGAAACTTTTACAGAGCCGTACGTGAGAATCACGCATGCTCGGGAGCTGAATTTGATAAATTTAAGCAGTACATGAGCTGAGAACATTCCCTGAAAATGTCAGCTCTTCAGCTTTCTTGATTCCCGAATTAGCCGTTTTCCCGCCAAAAATTTCACGAGGCCATACGTGAGTACCACACACACTGAGGGCCTGAGCTTGATAATTTTAAGTTGTACTTGTGCTGGGAACATTCCCTGAAAATTTCAGCTCTCCAGCTTTCTTGGTACCTGAGTTAGCGATTTTCGCGCCAGGAACCCTCATTGGGCTGAATTTGAAATCTTTGAGTTTTCTGTGGACGAGGGATATAACCACAAAATTTCAGCTTTCTAGCTTTTCTGGTTCCCGAGTTAACGATTTTCCCGCCAAAACTTTTACCTCCCCGTACGCGAGGCCAGACTTGCGTGAGAGTTGGTACCA